GCAGATTTCAGGCAGATTTGTAGAATATAATGATGGGTCTCAGCCTGGGCAAGCATTAATAACTTTTTTTTTTCTGTGAGCATCTGCCCTTGATTCCGTATGTCAGCATAACTCCAGTGTGTACATATTTCAGGTTATCATTTAATAATATTTCATTAGACCGCATTTCTTATATTCTAGAATTTCACTGAGACCCAAAGAAAGGAGAAAGCTATTTCTATAGCAGCATAGGAAGTCTGCACTGTAGGCAAGCAGCCAGACAGGTCACATCTCGACACTGTCTGAGAACAGAGCCAGTGTTATAAATATAGCCAAGGTGTTATACATATAGGAGTTAAAAAGAGACTTGTGCACTAAGTGGCTGCTTGACACAACACCAAAATGCTTCTGTTGTGGGAGTTAGGTCTCAAACATTTACCACTTAGGGTAGAGATTTCTTTGTCACCAGCAAATGAAGACCAATCAGCTGCTAACTTCAGTTCAGGAATACGCCACTAGTGACAGGGGATACCCAACATCTACTTAGCGACAGGGCTGCAAACCATCCGCAGAGCCCTGAGATGCTGTCCTTGGACTCGGACTCAGAGACCCTTTACAATCTCTGTATTACTGTCATGTACAAGGAACGGGAAACCATCTCTGCGGACCAAGGGTATATGTACATTAAAAAATAGAACTATGAGTGTCATCCTGAACTCTGCATGCGTGTGTGCGTACGTAAGCAGAAAGTATGTGCGGAAATGACTTACTAGAAAGACAGACATCTGGGTTAAATGTTCCCTTCACTTAGTTAATCATGTGAAAGTGTCATCCTGAAGAACTTTGTGTTTTAAGCCTTACTGAGGAAAGTGCTTTGTTCAAAAGTGATACGCGCATATCAAATGTGAGAACACAAGTTCCCGTCTGACGTGCAAAATCCACCATTTATCCTGTTATTTACGCAAGCTGTTGTCAGTTCATTTTTTACACACTCACATGGTATTTTCCAATCTATGATGAATGCTAAACAAGATGAGGGTTATTCCTTGACATGTCAGAGTAGTGAGGAAATTAAATTACCTCTTTGTGAGTTCCGAGTTCAATGTATCCACAGAGAGGGTGAAACGCTCCTGTGCCACAGACATAAACATGAGTTCGGTTGTAGGGCTGAAGAACCCTGATAAAATTGGCACATTCTGTCTATTGGGAAAAGAAAGAGAAAAGTTAATTTTCGTGTTTATTCTGATCTTTCATATTATACATTGTGGTAGGTTATAGCCATAGTATTGGTGTATTTAAGCTCAAAACTGCTGTAGCAGAGACTGTTTTCTACATATTTCAAAGTTGTGACAGCTACAATTTTGCAGTGGCTATCTACTAGGCAGTTCATTAATCACACTTGCAGGCCTAATTCTGCTATAGTGCTTACAGCCATGAGAAGTTCTGTGGTAGCAGTACAGTTTGGAGGATATCTGCTCAGCCTGTGTTGTACCAAGCAATCCCTGTCAACAACGGGGCAGAGGTTGGAGAGCCACTGGGTTAGTCTGGCTACGAGTCCTCCTGCCTTTGCACCCAATTCAGGGTCCTGCGTAGCCTTTAGCACCAAAGATTACACGATAGAAATCATGGGGGCAGACTGAAGGGCTTCTAACAGCATGTTCTGTGCATGTGTGGACTTTCTTTCCACCAGCCACATCCTACTGGTCATTTTTATTTGGGTATTTCTGAGTCCTATGGGATGCTTGGGTCAGTACTGGCTCTAGCTGGGCTTGGTCCTTGCTGGTAAGTGGCACGGGCAGCTGCTGCACGCTGCAAGGGTGCTCCTACATGGGGTGGGAGGAAAGGCTTGCTGCAACCTTCCCCCAAATTAAATACATATACATATAACAAGGTACGAAGGAGGGAATACACAAGAGGTATTCATACGTTCAAGCTACCACCCTACACCTAAGTGAGAGGCAAGCTGCATGTTCAAAACAATTATTCCCCTCTCTGGTCCCTTTCCTTTTGTCTTTGCGTAGAAATAGATTAGCACAAACCCTCCATATAGACCAGTATCAGAATTTTCCCAGTGCTCGGCAGAGGTGTTGTTTAGTTTTTGTCTGCTGTAAAGATAAGGTTAGCAATAAGTTAGGATAAAAAGTTGAAATTCCTCAGGCAGAGAGCTGCGAGAGTGTTTTGAGCTGGAGTTCCACCTTGGTAACAGACAAGCTGGATAGAAACCGCAAGATTTGTGGAGAGAAAAGGAAGAAATTTTATTATACAGCCGGGAAATGTTTACATTTATAGTGGGCTCTAGACACATGATGTAATCTGTGCTATGCAAAAGAGATATGAAAGTTTTACTGTATATATGAATGCACTTTAAATACACTTCCTAAAGAGACTTCCTAAGGATCTGTGGTTCCAGAGAAAAGCTAATGAGTCTGAGATTTTGTTTTAACCTTAACTGCAGCTGTCTGCAAATTAAGTTAATTTGTACTCTGCTCTGCTACTCTGTTTCATTAATGAATTATAATGAAGTTAAATTCAGGATATTCCCAAGAAAAAAGAAGCAATTTGATGGGAAAGAAAAGATTTCAGGGGAGTATTGCCAGGGATACATTTCAGAGGAGAGTCCATTCATCTCTCAACTACATTTATTACATACATGGATGGCTTAGCATGATTGCTGCTTGCAATACTGAATATTTTTCTTGAAGAATTAATATTTAAAGAAAAACATTCGAAGTGTAACATTTTTTTAAATGAAGAAAATGCACTTAGTTCATTAGCTCAGGAAAAAAAGTGTAACAACAGATTACTAACCCATTTTGTGCATTTAGAAACAAACACACAGATATACAATATTCTCAGCAATAATAAAATATATACCATACTTACATGGGCATCTTTCCCAGCTAATTTGCATAATTCTACCTTTTCTTTTGCTGCAGGCCAATAAATCTGTAACATAGTCAAAATAAGACAAAGATTATGATTATTATAAACTGTCCTGTGACTGTAGTTTAATTATTTCTTTGAACGAACAGTTAAAATGGATTTATGCATGTTGAAGGAATTTGCATGTAAATTGAAATGAACATAACTTTGAATACAGGGTTCCATTACAAAAAGTGAAGAGGTTTTAAATCAAAACCTCCGTTCTTTGTTCATTTCTTTATTGGCTATATGTACTTTTAAAAAGTACTTATTTGACCTGGCTAGCACACCTTGTCACCATTACGAATTGTGTGTTTTCCTCAAAGATATGATGAGCCAAATCATCTTGAAACAAAACTGAGTGCCAAACAAGGCGAATTACAATTGTGATGAATTTGGTCCAGTGAACTTGGCAAAGCTGCTATAAAAAAAACCCCTTAGCTGTTACTGCCAATTTTCAAATGAAAAGAAGTTTTATTCAAAAAACTAAAGGCAGCTTAAGGGAAATCTGTATAACAAAAAGTACGTTCGACAGAAAGCAATGGCACATGGTTTAAAAATGCCACCTATCTTCACTGAGTTTACTGAGAAAATAACATAGACATTTAGAGGAGAGTCATGTACCTTAGATAATTGGTCACGTATATTATTACTGTTTCTCTTTCTTCTTTCATCCGCACTACAGAATTCTGTAAACTAGGTTTTGTTGTAGATGGAGCCAGTTGACAAATTACTATCAGTTACTGTAACCTCAATTATGTTAGTGAAGACATATCAACAAACGACAGCTCAGATTCTGGCTCATCGATTTTAATTAAACAGTCAAAATTGGATATTATTGAATATATGTTTGAGTCTATTAAATTAAAAACAGAAGCTAAATACAAAGTCTTCCAGAATCACCACGCTAAACATGGATCTTTTTTTCCTTCTTATTCTAACAAGACAAAACTATAGATATTTCTCATGACTAATGATAACAACAACAAATCGTACTCATTTGTAGTAAATATTGGTGAGGAAATTGCCTCAAGTCCCAGAAGCAGGTAGTAGTCACAGATGCTTTAGAGTAATATTGACTCCCAAATCACATTTTATAAAATCTTAAATAGTGAAATATACAGGAATAAAGAATTATTATAATATGCATTTAAAAAAAATCATCATCAAGGAAGGATGCATAACTCAGCAACATGCAAGAGGAGTTAACTGCTGAAATATTCCCTTTCCCTCACCCAGCTGTTGGCACCTTGTAGGATGTGGCTTGCCACATACACAGGCTTAGTCCCACATTGTTAAAGAGGGAGTGCCCTATGTCGAATAGCTGTATCACGGTCCAAAATCTACAGCCAGCGTTCCTCTCAACCTGGAAACCGTCTTTCTATTTCACTTCTTCTCTTCCCAGTGAAAATAGATGTATTGGCTTTTCTCAAGGAAATTAATTTCCTCTCAAGTTAATTTACAGTTACCTTTCTGATTAGAAGTTCTTAGTAAAGATAATGTATTTTAAGTTATTTAAACCTTAACCCTTTACAGCAATATTTACTTTAAGTCAGAGATAAGGCAGTATAACAACATCTCAGCACTGGAACACACATTTACTTTCCCAGAGCATTTTCTCAGAATGACGTCATGATAGCATCCAGGTACAAGAACACAATCTGAAATCAGCCATGCCAGTGTGTCTGGATTACACAGTATACAATGCCAGAAGCTACAGAGGAAAGTATTGGGAACATTGCAAAGCCATCGGGAGGAGCTGAAGGTAGCATCAGTGAACTCATCTGGCCTCGGCCTGGGCAGAGTGGGATGGGTCTCTCTTGTAGCACTGGTCTAGCCTGAGCGCCGCTGGTTAAGGAGATGGAGAGCCTGGGGCTTAAGAGGTGCTGATGAAGAAAAGCTGATGAAAAGGAACAGCTGGAGAAATATAAGATCATGGATCTCCAAATACATTTGGTCAAGGACACTTAAGCTGAGATCTGATCTTCAGCTCTCTTCTATAGAAACTTTATGCCCATTTCTGCCCAAGATCCCTGTATCAATAACAGAGAAGGCTAGAGGTCTTTGAGGGTTTTTGGATATTTTTGGCCAAAGCTTAAGCATCCAATTAGGTAGACAAGATGTCCCTCTGTTGGGAGGGCCAGTTACATTCAAAGACATCTGCTTGAAAACATCACACGTGTTAATGGACTTGACTCTACGTGCAACTGTTGTACAGGTTCCTTCATGGGCAATAGTATTTGTCATACAAGCTGCACCAGTCAGGCTGAGATATACACATCCCCTTTTCTATGATAATTGACCGCAGTCAGTTATAGAAAAATCAATTGTTTTACTTTCTGGCTACTCAACAGCCTCAGTATTTAGCATTTTACAAGGCCACATTAGACAATGAAAAGTGAAGCTAAGTGATCCAACTTTAAAATCAATTTATAATTATATATGGAGGGAGTTAAAGTGATATGTATTTGCTTTCCATAAGAGAAATGAGAGGTTCCCAGAAACTGTCAGTTCTAAATTGTAATAGGTCAAGAAAATTGCATAATAAATAATGAGCCAATGTGCTGAGCAAAAAGCATAAACTTAATTTTTTTATTAGGTCCCATGCTGTGTAACAGTACCACAGGTCTGGTTCCCTCAAACACTGACACACAAGTAACTTTACACATGAGAAATAGTCTCACTGAATTTTTACATGCATAAGCTTATTTACATGCATCTGTGTTGGCTTTTCTGTAGGGGGTGAAATTAAGTCTTAGTATTATATTTTATTCAGACAAGTTACTTTTAGTTTCATAGCATGCAAAAAGTCAGGCTAGCTGTTCCAGTAGTTTCTGTTATATTTAAAATCTTTGAGCTTGTAGATGGTTTGATGCTTTGAAATTGGTCATTTTGTTGCATAGATTTTTCAGTTCACATGGTGAATTCACAATGGTAACATCTTATTTAACAAAGTCTTTTTCGTAAATTCCTCAAAAAGTAAAACCTCAAAGAAAGAAAAATAAAATAAAAAAACAACAAAAAACTAATACATAATAATGGTGACAACACCACTGACATGTAAAATTATAATCATTCCATGTTACAAACAGCACAGATTATGTATATAATATATTTTATAGTTGCGTCTGTATCTGAAATATCTGGAGAAATCTTAGAATAGCTAGGTGGGATTACTGAATTTAAGGCAAGAATGTAACTAGTTGAAATAAATGAACTATATACTTAAACAGGATTATTTTTTCTCTTAATCTTCAGTTTATTTTGCTTGCAAAATACCTGTATCAAAATTTCAAAGGTCAATTGCTGTCATGATTTCTTGATTTTATCTTCTATAGCTCAATTAAAAAAAAAAAAAAATAACAAACAAAACTTACCATTACTTTTAAAAAATTCTATACATATTTTCTTAAATTTAGTAACAGGAAATAAATTAAAAACTCCTAATAAGTGCAAGTTAATAAGTTCTCTGCTAGCAAAGTGAAAGAAAACCTCCCAGGAGTACAAAATTAAGTAGTACATAAGTGTAAGACAGGTAAGGTATCACTTTAAACGGTAGCTGGAAAATGATTTCTGATTAAAACAAAACATTAAAAACCACAAAGGTCCTTTTCAGATCAGGAGTAGAATAATTTCTAAAAGTAACATTTTTCCTTCCTCCAAACATGCCTTTTTACTATAAGAAAAAAAATGAAAAGGGAACGGTGAGTTTTGGGAAAAAAAAAAAAAAAGATTATTTACATACATAAATTGCTATCTGGATGCTATATATGCCATTATATGTATATATAAATAATAGCTGGACTAATTTCTAAGAGTTTCATTTCAGTTGCCATCTGTCATGAATTAACAATACTGGTTACAAGCTAGTATTTTCCTCATATTTCTGTATCTATCTTTCTCTATCCAATTTTTTTCCTAGGCTAACACTCAATCCTGAGGAGAAGTGGTGCCTCAAAAATAACAGAGAAGTCTTATTCCAAAGCAACTGTTGTACAGAAGTACAGCTTTTCCAAGAATCATTTCTAATGAAGTTACTAAATCTGGGATGATGCAGGACTTTACCAAAAGAGTGGGAAATACTATATATTGTCACAGTACAGAAGAGGAGGAACACAAGACATCTAAGCAAATTACAAGCCTATTGGTCTTATTTCATCTGTTTGTAAGGCTTCAAACCGAATTTTTAGTTAGGGAGGGAAAAACTTAAGTTTCCAATGAAAATGGAGTGTGCTGCAAAAGACAAAATAACTTTGGTAAAGAGCTGCTATTCCACTCTAATATTGTACTTTTTTTTAATAACATAGCTGAATTGCATACTACATTAATGCCTCTTCGTCGGGGTCCAGTTAAGTACTTATTAAGTTGCCACATGGAAATTGATTAGCTCAGCTGGGAAATATAGGTGTTTTTAAAAGAAAAAATAGTCTGATAAGTAAAGAACTTGTGGTAGAAAGTTACTCATGAAGTTCCTCAAGAAAAAGTGTCAGAGCTCACCCCACTTCATATACCCTTCGGCAGCCTTGGCAAAACCCCAGCACTCTGCAACAACACGTGCAGATGACACAGAGTTGGGAAGTGTCACTAATACAAATGAACACTGGTTGTATTCTGCAGGAAGCATCAAAGGGCTCTGAAGACCAGAATTATAAATAGCCAGAGGAAATGAGGATAAACTGGTCATAAATAAATATAGGTTGTAGATTTTAACAAAAATAAATCTTAAACATCAGAGTAATAAGGTTCTGGTCTATAGCAACGACTTTGCTAAAGAAGTTGCATGAAGTATCCCTCAAGGCCCCTTACTGCAGATTTGGACCAGGTTACGAAAGGAATAACTGCTACATGAGGTGGTAGCTGGTGATAGCAGGGAGTGAGACCAATTGACCAACGTGACTCCTTCCAGCTCCATGTCCCTGAGATAGTCACGCTCATGCCAGCAGCGAGCACTTGAGTGTCTCATTGAGATCGACGGCTTTCAGCAGCCCTGGGGGTTTCGCTGGAGCCTCTCACGTGCTTGACGC